AGCAGCACGCGGACGAGGTGCAGGGCGAGCGCCGGCGGGCGGCCGCTGCGGAGGAGCGCGCCAGCGCGGCGGAGGCGACGGTGGCGGAGCTGGTGGCACAGCTGGCGGCGGCGCAGCAGGACGCGCAGGCTGAGCGCGAGGCCAGGCGGGCTGCTGATGCCGCGGCGTGCGAGGTGCGCAGCTTTTCAGCGCAGCGGGAGGAGGTGCGTGCGGCGGAGCTGATGAGGCGTGTGAGGGACGGGGTTGCGGCGGAGGCGGAGGCGTCGCAGCAAGAGCAGGCGCCTATGGCGGCGCAGATCAGCAGGATTGACAGTTCAACCCAACACACAGCTGCTCCACAGGTGCAGCCGACAATGGGGGGGCGTTTGCGGGGGGTGTCAGTCGGCCCCATGGGGCCGAACGACCACAGCCCCCTGCATGGGACGCCTGTGGCCATGCCTGGCATGGGCGCCCGCAGCCTGCGCCGCAGCAGCATCGGATCTTTGAGCGGCGGCAGCGGTGGAGGCCCCAGCTCCATCGTGCGGCCCCTTGAGCTGAGGGCGGCAACTCCGCTGCACATGGAGAGCTTTGGGGCGCACGGCAGCGAAGTTGGAGCAGAGGGCGAGCAGGACGAGGAGCAGCAGCAGCAGGAGCAGCGACAGTCTGGTGGCGATGCGGCCCAAGTAGTTACCGCACGCGCCAGCGGCAGGCGCCGCAGCGGATGGGCCAGGGCGGTGGTGGGGCTGGCAGTTGTGGCGGCGGGCGGGCTGCTGGCGGCAGGCAGGGCAGCGCAGCGCCGCAGCAGGGGGTGATGCACAGGCATGAATGGTCAAATTGCAGTTTGCACTATGGCATGCGTTTTACTGCGGCGGCGCTTTGCCCGCCCACAGCCGGCCCAGCACATGTTGACACGGCCGTGGCAGCCAGCTTCTCTCTACCTGATTTCCGTGACTGGGCCAAACAACTGCAACTGCGGTGGAGGATGCAAAAACTCTGCATGTGTTGCACGCTTGCATGGTTGTCACTTATCATGCGGATGGTGGGCGCGGGGCGCAACGGGCGGGCGAGTGCCTAATGGTGCACGACCCCCGGTGATAGCCCTGCGTTCGGCGCGCTGCAGGCAAGCACGCTGAACACCACTTCGCATTGCATCCAAACGTGGGGCGCGATGGCCGGGCGAGCGCCTCAGGCGCCATGACCCCGGTGATAGCCCCGCGTCTCGCGCGCTGCAGGCAGGCTGTGCAGAACTGCGTCCACGCAGTGTAACCTGTTGGAGTTTATGCTAATCGACAGGCAGCTGTTTGAAGTGTTGCTTGAATGTGACGGTGCTGGTCATGCTAGGGCAGGTCAAACTCTGCGCACAGGCCGCCCCGTGCATGCCCAGCACATGTCGAGCTGTAGCAGCTAGTTAAGTCGTTGAGAATGTTGCAGAAGCGCGTTCTTGTTATGTGAAGAGATGCAAGGATGCCTACCGTGGTGTGCTGGTGCGGCACGGAGGCATCAGCAACAGCATGCCTACCGTGCATGCAAAAGCCGGACGAGCGGCCTTGGGGTTGGCCAGCGCCACCCCGACTCTGAAAGTGTGTCCAGCGTGCACGACACATTAAGAGACTTTTCTTAACCTTCTTGACGCTGTGCCGAGTGCCAAAACGACGATGCACCCGCTCGATCAATGTCATGTTGCCGCACCCGCTCCCATTCACGAGGCAGCTATCCAAGGGATCATTGCACGATTGATGTTCTGCTATATATAGATCGAGACAGGCCTAATAGGCCGACAGCATAGAACGGCCTCCACATCGACATTTGATCTCCATCCTTAGAGAATTTTCTGAGATATGCAGTGTTATCGTCTTGGTCACCAGCATGGCGTGGTCGCCGCTGGGGTCCAACGACGGACTCTGGTAGTCCGGGCAGTGGCGTCTCCTCGCCAGCCGAGCTCTGAGAAGGTCCCAGTCTTTCCAGAGGCATCGGCCGGTCCAATCAGGCTTGGCACGGATGGCGGCGTGGCAAGCACTACACGGCGCGACACCCTCGCCCGTGCGCTGCTGCTCGGCGCTGGCATGGCCGCCTGCCCCTGCTGCGAGGCACTGGCATCGGGCGGCGCAGTCTTCGACTATGGCAGCCTTTCGGGCCCCCAGAAGTGGGGCGGCGTCTGCAGCGCCGGCACGCGCCAGTCGCCGATCAATATCCCGCGCAAGGCGCTTGCGGCGGCGCTAAAGCGGCCGACGGGCGTCGGCGCCGGCACGTGCAGGCCTGCACAGCTAAACATCACGGGATACAAGCCTGCGAAGCCCTCCATCCTCAACACGGGCGTAGGAACCATGCAGGTGCGCGCGGCGGCTGCGGCTCGCGCAACCGGCATGCCGAGGGCCCCCGCGAATGCAGCGGGAAGGGGGGTTGTGGTGGTGCAGCGGCTGCAGCATTTATATGTTGCCTGCACGGGCCTCTCCGCAGCTGCTCCACCCACGGCTGCAGCCCAAAACTCATGGTGTATACCTGTATGCAACAGCTGTAATGGAATCACTTCGCTTGCCTGAACGCTCGCTACTCAGCACCCCCAACCAACCACCAACCACCAACCACCCAACCCCTGGCCAGCCCCGCCGCGCCCGCCGCCAACACATGCCGCCCTCGCCGGCCCACGACCCCGGCCCCCTCCGCCCCCTCAAACCCGCGGCCCAATCCCCGCCCCTAACGCCGCCCAGGTCAACTTTGCGAAGGGCAGCCAGGTCCTGCTGTGCGGCGGCTCAGAGCTGGAGCTGCTGCAGTATCACTTCCACACGCCCTCGGAGCACGCCTTTGACGGGGACCGCACCGCCATGGAGGTGCACCTGGTGCACAAGAACGCCACCACGGGTGCGTGAGGCGGGCTGGGGCGCAGGCCTGCGGGGGCCGCCGAACGTCCGTCTGATTGGGGGCGCCATGCGGCGGGCGCGAGCGTCTACATGGGGAGTTGGATGCGGCTGGGTGGGTGGGTGGCGTGGTGGTCGGGGCTGCCGGCGAGGCGGCAACAGCGATGACGTGGGGTGCGTGGGTGTTGCCGCACGTCAGATGGCCCGCGGCAGCTGTAGAGGGGCATCTGGGGGTAAGCCACAGGTGTGTTCAGCGGACGGAGCCTCGAGGTCCCCCCTCCCCTCCCCTC